TAAATGAAAAGAGCTGCAATATCATTTTGTTTCACTGAAACGACACAAATGGAAATGGAAAACCATTTCATCTACATGAATCAACTTAATTCATCTTCATGCTTTTCTAGTCAAAAAAATAAAGAAAATACTTCAATGGTAGTTAATGTTTCAGTCAATACTTCAAATGGTGAGCAGTTTCAGTCAATGCTACATTATTTTCAGGTGAATACAAAATGATGCACTAATGCGAGCAGTTTAAGTCAATTCTCAAATGGTAGTTACAGCTTTAAAAGGAAAAAAATAGGAAAAGAAGATACATATGTTATGAATCCTAACATACCTTGCAGTCTCAGGGGCAAATCTGATCACTTTATAAGATCGCAGGCGACTTTTTGTCTCAAGATAACTCGCTAGATCACCCTATTGAGTTAACACGGATCTAGTTATCGGCAATAGATGACTAATATTTTCCAGGACAATCCAGTAAGATTCTTTCTTATGGTTGCAATAACAAAAAAAAATTGTTCACGAAACATATATGCATACTGCTTTCAAAAACCCTATTACATGGAGGAATGCTTTTCTAGATATGGATATGATGAAAAAGGAATACACACATTTGTTCTGTTTGTAAAGTGATCTGGATATGCATAAAGTGACCTGGATATTCAAAAAAATTGTTCACGAAACTTATATGCATACATGCATTTTCTAGATATGAAGAAAAGTATTGTAAAGTGATCTGGATGAGATGCTTTGAGTACAAATCACGTCTTGCAGACTCTCTATTAGGCCAATCACAAGCAATATATTAAAGGAGATGGAATACACATGGCTTAACTTGTCCAATGTTCCATTTACGTGCACAGAGATTCACAAATCATTTCCAACTCTTCGACATCAGGCTTAACAATAGCAGAAACTTCATATGTTTTCTCGTCATAGCTAACACCCACCCACCTCAGGGCATGCGCCCCTCCATGACCAGCCTCACGAAAGCAGCAGCTGCAGACCTCTCCCAGTGGGCGTTTCATTTCAAATCAAAAGACAGGAGCTCACTCCTGGACTGGAAACCAATCCTCCTAGCTCTCTCCGTATAGTTTCCTTGAGGCTGTTGTTCTTAGTTCTCCACTTTGGACGTAACCAGTAAAAACACTCCCTGTACTCGTGTTGCCGGGTACTATCGCCGCTTGAGACCTGAGAAATGAAAATTCAGGTGGGGTGCCTTCTCCGCCCCCACTCCCCCAATGTACTGTTAGAACTTGATATAAGAGGAAAGGTGGAATAAAACCTTGAGTAGCTGCAGGTCGATGGCGTCCTTCACATCTCCTTGGAGAAGCCCTTGACGACAGCGACCATGGTGGATGGGGAACTCCCATGGCGTGCTCCATCTGCATCTGTAGCAGAGGATATGACGAGAAGATGAGGTCTAGGGGTGGCGGATCCCGGCCAAGAAGGAAGGAGGGACAAACCTGGGGCCGCCGGAGACGCACCGGCGAAGCACTGCCCGGAACCCTAGCCACGGGGGTGTGGTTGCGAGCGGGCGGTAGAGGCCGGGAGATGAGAATCTGGCCGGAGGGGAGGGAGGCGCGGAGCATGGGGAGCTCGGGGCTGTGCTGCGCAGCGCCGGAGCTCGCCGGAAGCGGCCGGCGTGGGCGGCGGCGGCGGTGACTTCGTGGGCGAGAGGGAGAGGAGTCGAGCCCATGCGTGTGTGGTTGTGTTTTTTTCTCTTTACAAAGCTGCTCGGACCGCGCGTTGAATACTCCAAACGCCAGGGTGTTTTGTGCAAAATTGAAACGTTTTCTCAGATATCCACTTAAGATAGGACTGCGGGTTGAATTCTGACAAATTGAGGGACTTCTTTGCAAAATGCCTGATGACGAACGACCAGAAGCGATCGCTGGTTTATTAGTATATAGGGATAGGGAATTCTGACAAATTGAGGGACTTCTTTGCAAAATGCCTGATGACGGACGACCAGAAGCGATCGCTGGTTTATTAGTAGGGAAAGAAATTAAAAATTAAAATTAACTAGCAAAAAAGCCCGTGCGTTGCAACGGGAGAAAAAAATTACACTTTGTAAGGTCTAAACCGCATGGACGGCATTAAGGATGTCCGGCAGGGGAAAAGCATCGGACTTCTTCGTCTTTGAAGCTAACCCTATCCGTTTGATGAGCTTCCGCCTTGGTGGATCGCATCGTCTCCACATGTCTGTGTGCATCATCTCCCAACCACCCAGGCTTGCACTACACGACAATAGCATACTCATCCTACTTCATGCCAGAATTTACGGTTCTATCCCATTCCTTTCTGTACTTGTAGCAGAAAGAATATTGGACTTCCTTTTACCCACATTTTCATGTTCATCATCTTCTGCCTTGCTTTGCTGTTTGCTCAACCAATAGTACATTGATATACAATAAAAGATGGGACAGACTCTTGCCAAAAACTTTAGCTACCTTCCTCGAGAGAGCGCCACCATCAAAGCATGTGCGTTTCAACTGGAGAGAAAACATGAAACCGTTAAGGATCAAACTACCCGTCCCTTGCTTTCTATTGGACGTGATGGAGAATAGAATAGGCAGTGCATCCCTCGCCACGGAAGAGCTACAACATGTCCATGGTGTCCGAGTGTAAAGCCACAATGAGTGTCGCCATTGGTGTTCTTGTCAACCATCGACCGATTCACAGCCAAGAAAGAGTTGCATCTTATCCATGTTGTCCGGGTGCAGAACGACGATAGAGTTATCATCATTGGTGTCCTCGTCGACTTGTTCCTCTCAAGAATCGTCGTGTAGTACTTCCCGCTCAGATTCTTCCTTCTCGGATGCCATATATGCGATTTGGAATAAATGTGTGGCCGGACGGTTCAAAATTAATAGGTCACATGATGATAAAATATTAACGCATCCTGCACTTTCACATTTATAGTATTTAATATTTTTACATGTATGTATAGACAGTTATATTTTTAATTTTCTTACACATGTGTAAAGTCTCCAATGGTAAATTACATTTGACTGTACACAAAATTTCAACTACTACAGCTTAATAGGAACATTGTACTTTACCGAAACAAAAATAGGATGAAATAGTTCATGATGGGAATACGTAAATATTGTATGGCATTGTACAGTATCAATCATGGTGAATCTGAATCACGAACATTGCCAAAACTGGAGTTCTCTTCTCCCCCGAAATTAACAAAAAACATAAAAATACAACACTTCTCACTCATATTTCCAAACTACTTTCATAAGGCGCAGAGAGCTGCTCCAGTGAGAAAACACACAAAAAGCTTCTACAATCCTAGGAGATCAGCGAAACATGAGAAATACTCAAGTAACAATGAATGATGGACTCAAATGCAAACTGTAGTTCTGCAAGTACGAACATCTATCCTCTTAGATAAATATACATCTATCCTCTTATACAGATAAATATTTTTGCAATCTATCACTTTTTCCCTGAAGCCAAGAATCGAAACACTATGAGGTATTTCTAAACTGACACATACATGTTAGCAAAGCCATGACTGCATGTGAAAGCATATATCTGTAGTTCTTAATTAGCGGCAAGTATGCACTGCAAATTGGAATAATTTCAGGCATTGAATTAAAAAAAGAAATTGAATTGTTAACAGAAAACATATTGCCTATGTTGATCGCCTTTTTTTGCTGTGGTCATGCTCTATAAACTTTGAATATCACACATAATTTGTATTCTATCTCAAACAAAATTGAACAAAAGGTCTATAGCTCATTCCTATAACAAACCCGACTGCCATACAGAATAAAAGTCTACAGCAAATTTTGTGAAAAAAGCTAGAAAGTAGAAATCTTACATCTTTTTCAAAGCTCTGGCGTTTATTGGCTTGGAGCTCCTGAACCTGCTTTTCAATACAGTGCAAGTCAAATCTCAGCCTCTTGTCATAGTCATAGTATGATCTCCCCTAAAATCCTCCTCACAGGCCTCCATCTCGAAACCTTCATGGGCTAGAGAAAAAGATAATAAAACATGCCAAACAGATTGAGAAAAGTGACATAATAAGTATCTATTGGAAAGATCGAGCCTAGGATTATCTATTTTTTGCTTCGTTGTGCATTGCATCTGCAGTTGCACAAAAAATTGATCATTGCATTCTTCTAAATCCAGAATGTCCAGTCTTTACAATCTACTCCCTCTGTTCCTAAATATTTGTCTTTTTAGAGATTTTTCAAATGGACTACCACATAGGAATGTATATAGACATATTTTAGAGTGTAAATTCACTCATTTTGCTCCGTATGTAGTCACTTGTTGAAATCTCTAGAAAGACAAATATTTAGGAACGGAGGGAGTAGCTCATTACAATCATCATACAGGTAAGTTCAACATTGAGAAAAGAAAGAAACAGAAAAGAAAAAAGAGGAATAGGCAAAGAAGAAATTGTTGCTATACTTTTGCTAGAAGATAACCCAGCCTATATGACTACGTCGATCTAGGCAAAGATCTTTACCCAACATTCTTCTCTCTAATTATCAAAAATTCATGATTGGAATCAAAACCAAGCAAACTTTCATATTGATCTGCCTACACTTTATACTTTCAACACCAACCGTACATTGCACATTATCCACAATGCAAACTGAAAGATATGCAGTTCTTGTTTGAGAACCGAAGAGATATGCATGCGTATCATAGTACTGAAAGGGGTATATAGAAAAGCTAGTGTCGTGGAAAATCAGAACACAAAATTCGAATTATTTGGTGTGCGAATGGCGCTTACACAATCTGAATCTGATGCCGCTCGGGCTCACTGTTGTAGAAGGTGCAACCGCTGCTGAACGGGAACAGCAACCCGGTAAAGAAGAATTGAATACTACATAGAAGACATCATGGAGGGAAATATGATGCACCCAAAAGGCCAAAACAATACCAATTTAACAAATAGCAGAGTTTTGAAAGGCACTCACATACCTAGTTAGTTAGTTATCTAAATTGCATGATGTGTGAGATGTGCCTTCTTGTTTGCACAATCACCATCCATGGAACTTCCTCCTTTCTTGGGCACAGGATGATTTCAAATTCATCTTCTGGACCTCCTCCTTGGTGTAAATAAAGATCTTGCACAGTATGCTACAGAATTCTCTGCTGACAAGATAATATAGTAAATAATAGGAAGGGGATTTATGTTGTATACACATAAAGCAAGCATCAAGTTACAGGGCTTACTCCCCCTCTGTCAGTATACACCATCTATCATTCTCTAGTGCAAGAGCCAAACTAATGCATTTGTTGGGCGTGCCAGCTCGTGTGTGAATCATCCTCCACGTACAGGCCACCCCCTCCGATCCTCCTCTGAGTCATTGAGTCCATGCGGCTCTATCCGGCCATCCCTGCTGCCGCCGGCTTGCTGGCTCTCGTGGGCCTAGCCAGGGTAGAGTGGAACCATATAGCATTGGTCTGAACCAATGAGAACTGATCAAATGTTAGGCACTGCTAATAAAGGCTGCAGGCCAATTACATGAACACCAATGAGAAATTGCACAAGAATGAATTAACATAGTGGAATTCAGGTAGCCAACTCAAATGGAAAAACTGAAGGACATGGAAAAGCAATGTCATGACCCTTCTAGTCACTAAATTGTTCAGACTCCTAGAGCATATACTAAAGAACATACAGAACTCCCTCTATGAAGAAATGCAAAATATTTGATCAAGACTGTTGCAACTCCTGTACCATTTTTTGTGAACCTCTTCAAGCTGTTATAATATGAAGACTTGCTATATATATTTTCAGAGCCAACCAATTATGTATACCTTAAGCCAATTAACTACAAAGATGTAGAGTGGAACCATATAGCATTGGTCTGAACCACTAATGCAAACCTTTAGACAATTAAGTACAGAGATTTAGAGTGGAACCATGTAGCACTGGTATGAAAATTTTGTCATACAGCAGCTGTTCTTCTAGATAAAAATTTAGCTAGCTTTATCACCTTTTATTGCTACTTCCAAAATAGTCGATTAAATAATTACCTCTGTGCCATCACCATGAGATTAGTTTACCTTTTCTTATATTTTTCTGTCATACAATAGCTGTTCCTCCTAGATACAAATTTAGCTAGAGCTATCACATTTGATTGCTACTTCTAATTATTGTTTTTCCTCAAGAGCATCTTGTAATGAGGACAGGGGGGTGTTTTAGGCATTGACTTGTTCAGAGCTTATGTAGTAGTTGATGAAAGATGCAAATTGATTACACTGTAGTATGTACCTCAGGTCGGACAAAGTTCCGGCGGACAGTGGAGTACGTGCAGACGGATTTCCGGCGACGTCAACAGTGTACAACGATGTCAGAAACTTGCAATACGACGATGAGCCAAATAACTGCAGATTGCGCAGAGTTAGAACACACAAGATTACTTAACCTTGCAATTAGAATACAAAGGGTTCACTGATGTCTTTTTTCCTATATGACAGATGCAAATTATCTGGATATGAATTGGGTAGTATTTATTACATTGATTGATGGGACTGTAGCAATAACAAAAACTTTCAGTAGCAAGCTACATCTCGTTCTCTATCTAAATGTACATCAATCAGTAGTATCTATATAAATGTGAAGCAATCATAGATCAATCAGTAGTATCTATATAAATGTGAAGCAATCAACACTTCTCTCTCTCTCTCTCTCTCTCTCTCTCTCTTATCCACAAGAGCAGATCAGTAGGCGTTGGACCATGTCTCTCATCTCTGTTCTCTCTCTCTCTCTCTCTCTTTCTAGCAGCAGCGACCAGTAGCAGTTCCATCAATCCCTCTATCTAAATGTGCAGCAATCATCATCTCTCTCTGCTCTCTCTCATTCTCACATATCTCACCAGCAACAGCGTCCAACATGCCCTCTGCTCTCTCCCTAGAGAGAGAACTCCTCGTCGGCAAGGGCGTATGCCTTACCAGCTCCCAGCTCACCCGCCCCACCGCGGAAGCGACCTATCCCCTACACAGCATCGAGGGGAGGGGCGGATTGAGATCAATCACAGAGAAAGAGATGAGGGGGAGGAGATCCCATAGGGACGTGAGAAGTGCGACGAGAAACACTGAGGCGGGCTTCTGCTCCAAGTTCTGGGAGGAAGACGGAGGCGAGGGGGGCCAAGAAGGAAGGAGGAACGAACCTGGGGCCGCCGGAGACGAGCCGGCGAAGCCCTGCCCGGAACCCTAGCCACGTGGGTGGGGTTGCAAGCGGGCGGTAGAGGACGGGAGCGGAGAATCTGGTCGGAGGGGAGGGAGGCTCGGACCGTGAGGAGCTCGGGAGCGTGCTGCACGGCGTCGGAGGTCGCCGGAAGCGGCCGGCGCAGGTGGCGGCGGCGGCGAGGAGTTCGTGGGCGAGAGGTAGAGGAGACGAGCGCCTGTGGTCTGTTTGCTGCCGTATTTTTTTTCCTTTACAAATCTGCTTGGATCACAGGTTGAATACTCCAAAAGATAGGGAGTTTTTTGTAAAAACGAAACGTTTTCCTGGGTAACCACTTAAAATAGGACCGCGGGTTGATTTCGAAGAAATGCGGGGATGTTTTTGCAAAACTGCCACGACAGACGACCAGAAGCAATAGCTGGTTTATTAGTAGGTAAAGATATATATATAATATATATATATATATATATTATAGAGAAAAGATTTTTCAAAATAATTTGAAGGTGAATCGATATTTCAGGATTAAAAACAGTTGACCGCACCGAAATATGCAATAATTCGTGTACTTTTTAACCGTGGCCACAATATGGGGTGTAATGCTAACAAAAAGAAGATGGGCTCCAAAAAAATTCTTAAGAATTAGCAAATGGGTTGTACATTATTATAAATAATGCACACGGGAGCAGTGACTGTTGGATGTCCATCCAACGGCTGTCATGCTTCTTCAATCTCTGCTTTTCCTGCTCCAGCCACTCAAACAAGCGCCGGCGGGACTGCCTGCTCCCTCCTCCCGCGGCTGGCTATGCTGCCGCGTAGGCCTCACCGCCCCACCGTACTCCTATCGCTGGCCTAGCCATCCCTCTACTCACCCACACCTGCTGTTATTCTCTGGTGACGGCAGACGAACCAGTAAACCCTCGTACTCCTCCGCGTGGGAAACAAATGCTGAGTCTTCCCTGGATCCTTGTCGTTCCCTTCTTAGGCCTCGCCGTCGTCCACCGCCCTGGTGCTCTCGGCGCGTCTTGGTCAACGTGGTCAATGAACGACATCCATCGGATGTGGACTGTACGTGGAGAGGCTGACAGCTGGGTCCACGGTCGCACGCAAGGAAATGCCTCCTTATTACGCGCAAAATAATGTTTTTTCCACCTGACAGCTAGGACCCATGGAAGGGCTTCTGTATTTCGCGAAAAAATCACCCCCCCGATGACAGGTCGGACCCACCAGCTATATCTTCGCACACAAGGAAGTGCGTCCTTATGACGCACAAAAAAATGAATACCCCCTGCTAGCAGGGACCCACCATAGTGGGTGGCTGACTTGTGGGCCTACTAAGTTGACGGGGACAGAGGGCTTTGTCAACTTAGTCAATATGAACGATTCTAGCTCCAGTGACCGTCCGATGTCCATCCAATGACCATAGTGCTTCTTCAACCTCTGGTCTTCTTGCTCCAGCCGCACAAAGCAGCGCCGGTCGTGCCGCCTTCTTGTGCCTCCCATGACCGGCTGTGCTGCTGTAGAGGCCTCACGACCCCATCATATACTCGCATCCCTGGCATGTCTATCCCTCTACTCACCCACATCTGTTGTTTTCCGGTGACGGTAGTCGAATCGGTCAACCCTTGTACTCTCCACCGCGTGGGCAGCCACTGCCATGTCTTCCCCGGCTCCGTGTCATTCCCTTCGTAGGCCTTGCCATCATCCACCGCCCTGGTGCTCTCGGCGCAGCGTGGTCAACATGGTCAACGAATGACATCCATCGGAAGTGGACTGTACGTGGAGAGGCTGATAGCTGGGTCCACGGCCGCACACAAGGAAATGCCTCCTTATTACACGCAAAATAATGATTCCTCCACCTGACATCTGGGACCCGCCGGAAAGGCCTTTGTATTTCACAAAAAAATGTTCCCTCCGCTGATAGGTCGGACCCACCAACTATATCTTCGCACGCAAGGAAGTGCCTCCTTATTGCGCACAAAAAAATGAATACCCCCTACCAGTTGAGACCCACCACGGTGGGAGGCTGACTTGTGGGCCTACTAAATTGACGGGGACGGAGGGCTTTGTCTACTTAGTCAATATGTAGCTCCAGTGACCGTACGATGTCCATCCAACGGCCTTAGTGCTTCTTCAACCTCTGGTCTTCTTGCTCCAGCCGTCCAAAGCAGCACCGGTTGTGCCGCCTGCTCCTGCCTCCCGTGGCCGGCTGTGCTGCCGCAAAGGCCTCACCGCCTCCATACTACTCCCACTGCTGGCCAAGCCATCCCTCCACTCACCCACACCCCCTGTTATTCTGCAGCGATGACAGTCTCACACCGCAGCCGAACCAGTGAACCCTCGTACTCCTCTCCGCGTGGGCATCCACTGCCGCGTCTTCCCCGGCTCCGCGTCGTCCTCTTCCTAGGCCTCGCCGTCATCCACCGCCTTGGTGCTCTCGGGGCGGCGTGGTCAATGTGGTCAACGACCAACTTCCATCGGAAGAGTACTGTACGTGGAGAGGCTGATAGCTGGGTCCACGGCAACCGCAAGGAAGTGCCTCATTACGCACAAAATAATTATTCCTGTACCTGACAGCGGGGACCCACCGGACGGGCCACCGTATTTCGCAAAAAAAAGTTCCCCCCTGACTACTGGGACCAACCGGCTACATCTTCGCACGCAAGGAAGTGCGTCCGGGCAAAAAAACGATTCGCCCCCTTGACTGCTGGGACCCACCAGCTATATCTTCGCACGCAAGTGCTTGACAGTCGGGACCCACCTGGTTGAAGTGTACATAGTGCTGTCTTTCCGGTCGCGAACGTGTATGTACATACTGGTCGATGTACATCGCGCACGTGTCGTAGTTGAGGCGCACATGTAGCATGTACACGTACGTACAACAACCAGTGTGCAAGAAAGAAAAATACGGCCACGTACGTACATACGGGCGGGGTCTCGAACGCCTACTCGCACATACATACGGCCAGGGCTCGTGTACATGGCTGGGTCGGGAAGGAGAAACTACGTCGTCGTCATGTTCATGGGGAGGCAACGGAATGCGTCATGTTCATCGGGAGGCAACGGAACGCGTGGGAGCCAACCAGCTTGGACGGAACAGCCGATGGAAACGAGGCCTAGCATACCGCAGAACGG